CTAAGATTGTTTCAAAATAGAAGGATAAGGACAAACCATCAAAGAGTTTAGTATGTTTGTAATGAAGGTCTGGGTAAGTTTAAAAGTGTATAAAAATCGAATGTGTGATAATGTTAATGTTGAATATAATCCTAAGAGTTGCCTAAAAGATTTTTTTAGGGTCATGTCAACTAAAATCAAATCTTCTATGTCTATGAAATAACAAAGGGTTATCTTAAATATTGTTCTGTTCTGAGTAACATCTATAAAAAACCAAATTTCAGAGAAAGATTTTATCAAAGAAATTTATTGTTGTTTTCTAGCTTGATGCTTGTCAAAGCTTTTAAGTACTACTAAATCAGAGTTAAATTTACCTATTTGCTTAGTGTCTTAAATGGACCACCTGTTAAACAGTGTTATCTGAAATATGGTACAAACATTAAAGGTTAAAAGTGTCAATTTAAAATATAAAATAAATGAGCAAGCTCTCTTTTATCCAGAGTGGTGTTTACATTTAAGATCCTGACAGTCCCTGCCTCCCACAGGTCACTACCTTAGGTGTGGCCTTAAAGGGACAGACTCACTCCCTGAGTCATAAATGCATCAACCCAATCTTCTGTTTCCCAACCCCCCTACCATAAGACAGCTTACAGCTTTCCTGGCAGTTACAGGATTTTGCAGAGTTCAGATCCCTAGGTTGGTAGTCCCTGAACAGACACCTTTTTATGCTCCTCCTAATATTCCTATTGGGTCCTTAGATAAATGTATGGCCACCCATTTCTCTCTTTGTAGTTGGAGACTCTTGAAATTGTCTAGGGAACAACATTTTACAGTGGTTCTCCTGGCCAATGCCCATCCTAAAGGCTATGTTTCTTGCTCTCCTATCCTTAAGCTTCATCCCTTGTATCATACTGCATGTCTGCTCTTGCTAATCAAAAATTTAACCAGCTGTACCTCCAGGGATGTCAACCTCTCCAAAACGTGAGGATAGTTGGCTGATACCCACCATGCGGAGGTTGGAGGATTGGCTCGAGACTCTTTACGACCTATGGCTACAAGGGACCTTCATCAACTTAAGGGAAGAGGAAATCTTCATTTTTGGAGCCTGGGTGTACACCATCATGAGGCTCAGCACCCCAACATTGTTTGCCAACTGACCCTCCCTTCCCCTACACCGCCCCTCGTCAGCTCGAAGAAGCCAGAGCAAACACAACGCCACCGTTCTTTAACAAACAAAAAAGGGAGGAATGTTGGCAATAATGGTGCCGATAGGTTTCAGTTCTTACTGCACCCTTAAGCTTCTGTTTTCCAGGGTCACGGTCCTGCCTCCCAGGGTCATAGTCCTGCCTCAAGTCTAGCTTGAATCCTCCTTCTGCCCCAACCTCCAATCAGCATGAGCCATAAGATCCTAACCAATCAGATCATGCTGAGTCCCATTGAGGGGTATTTAAGCCCTTGCCCTTCCTGCTTCTCTCTCTTGACTCTCTTGGCTCTCTCCCTCTCCCACCCGGCAATAAAGAATCTCTTGGCCAGATCACTCCTCTCCTCATGGTCATTTTTGGGGCCTACATTTCCAACAAAACCTTGACTTGTGTGTTCTGAATTGACAATTGTAGAATACCCACTTAGTGTCTGGAGAATCAGAGAATTTGTTATACCCACACAATTGGTATCATAGTGTGAGCAAAAACAGCTCATAGTACTATTGCAGGAAGGCCTAAATAATTCCATTTGTTTCTAACTCCATCTTATTTCTTTTTCTTCCTTCTGAGGTCTCCTGAGTCTTTCTTCTATACAGTACATCCTTAATATCTACAGGTGTATGGTTCCATGGAGATCACCACTGAGGAAAACCTGCAAATGTTCAGGATGCATACAGAGTTCCGTACTATACTGTACTATACTGTGGATGTTTGACTCATTTTTTCCATAATACTGCCCAACATCCACTAAAGACATGATGCCTTTCAATTAATCTAAAATTCACTTTAGATAAACTTAATTTGACCACATTAACTTTTACCTTATTTGGGGGGAGCATTTTCTTTTTGGAAAGCACAATTCCATAAAATTAAGGGCAGAGAAATACTCAGCAGATCATAGAATGATTTAAACTCAACTTATAACGATGCAGGACTGACAGAACATCTTTGCATCCACTGAGCTATGTGATATGCACATGGGAATTTAAAATTTTTGTTTTTCAAATTTCTTTTTATTTTTATTTAATTTTTTTGACTGTGTTAGTCAAAACTGCCTATAATAAATCTGTGAATAAGGTAGGCTTACTGTAATTAAATTGAGTCCCAAAAACAATAGAGCTATCTGATGAACATCTTAAGACAAAGGACTAAAACTACTCCTAAGCAATAGAGACCTTTGAGCCTTACATGGTAAAACCTGAAACAATGGCCCAAGGTGATAGTCAAGTAGACCACAGGGCAGACCAAGATGACCTAAACGACTATCACTAGACTACTATCCCCAGAAACCTCCGTCCTTGCCTTAATTTCTCTTTCCTATGCAACAGTGATGTTGTTGTAAACACTTTGTAGACAGATTTTAGGTCATCAGACCTCTGTTCTTCCCAATGTGGTCACAACTAATAAAGCTTCTTTCCTGCCTTTACCACCACTGGTCTCTTTGATTGGCTTTTTGAGAAAGGTAGCTGAGTGCAATTCATTGAAACTCCCAGGAACCAGGGCTTTTGCCTTAACTCCAGTATATCTATTTGAGATAAATGAGTTAGGAATAAATATATAATAAACAGCAAGATCTGCCATAAAAAAATTTGGGGTTTTGTGTAAAACACTGTCTCCTTAGGCAAGATAAAAGTGAAGCAGACAACTATAATTAGAACCCATCTCCTCTAAAAAGTGACCACAATTCACTGAAAAATAAAGTCCTCTTTCTGATGGATGAAAGAGCAAGAAATAAATTCTGTTTCTGGTGGAAAGGAGAAAAATCTCAGTCATTCCAAGCAATTGTTCCTTTGAATGCAAATGTTAGACTTGATACATTGGTCCTGAGACCCAACCCATCAGCCTCCTTTGACTTTAGCGGAACCAAAGACTTAGGAAGATTCTATCCAATAGTTTATTACCTGCCATAAATATTGTGATAACAGTGTTGACTGGACAATGTAGGTAAATTCTTCTAGGAAAAGAGGTAGAAAATAAGAGGTGACAGGTAAACTATACCCAATAGGCTTTTTTTGCCTTAAAAAATAAAATGACTTTAATCAGGGCTCTTTAATCTCATTAGTTGATATGGATATAGCTGCAAAAAAGATTGAAATAGGCTGTCTTCAATTCCTTTAGCTTGAAGGCCATATGTAATACCATTTGTTACTTTCATGTTATGGCGTAAGTCCATAATTAATACTTTAAACTTTTTCTACTTTGATATGTTTCATAATATTCTAATTCTAATTTTTACAAGTAAATGAATTATTTTTCTGAGGTTAACACTTTGTGCTTCTGATTTCATGTTACAAAATGTGTCCCATGGTCAAAAATGTCATATCATGATTGAAGCTCATGTTGATGTCAAGATTAAGATGGTTATTTGCTTCATCTACTTTGTGATGGTTTTACTAAAAAAATGCAACAATCAGATACACAAGACCTCTTATGATCAGCACCAACAGGTCCCACAAATCCAGAAGAGGATAGACATCATGACCCAAGAGCTGCACACAAATGACTTGAGAGAAGTCATTAGTTATTAATTATTAATAAATATATAAATTCATTCCAGACAACACTGGCAAAGGCAAAGAAAAGACTTGTCAGTTAATTTAGCTTCTTCATGATGCCTTCACTAGAAAAGCAAAATTGCTGAACTGGGAAAACTCAATGAAACTTAGTATGAAGGTGTTAGTTCTAGAAAATGGACATGAATAAGGTGTTAAAGTGGAACGGGCTGATGGACATGAACCACCAGTCCAAACATCTGTTTAAAATTCAGATTTTTAGTAGTCACAAATAAGAAATCTACCATCTGTGAAGAAAAGAGAAGGTTGTGTGACAATGATTTTGATTTTTAATTGAACTAGTTTTTTCTTTACCTTTTTCCTTTTATTCTTTCTTATTATGAGTGTTTATGTGTATATAATTTTTCAAAAACAATAACTTTTTTTATATATAAAGGAAGCCAAGAAGAGTCTTAGAAATTCAAATAGGTGAGTGGTAAATGGAAAGAAGTTCTGCTGACAGGGACAAAGAAGATCCAGGCAAGAGTAGGGAGTAAGAAGGAAAACCCAGTGCTTCAGAAGCTGATAAAGGAATGAGTTTGAACAATGATGAAAATTAAAGGTGTAAAATATCAGGAATCAAATATTGGTTTGAACAAATCACTAATAACCTATGTAAAAGCAATAAAACAATTACAACAAAAGGTAGAAGAGAAATAAGAACATAATTATTAAGGATAAATTGTCAACAACTAAAAATACAGTGATAATAATTAGGCTACAGCAGGTTAAATAAGAAACCCTATCAAGCTTACTTTTTCTAAAGAGGTAGAGAAGTTGTATAGTAAGTATAACTACCTTTGTTTTTAACTAAGGAATAATTTTTCAATCAGACTTATAATACATTCCCTATTACTGAACTATCAGGCTACTGGTCAAGGAGATTGTATGTTTGAAATTTTCTAAGTGTCCTAGGTTTAAGATTTGGTTCTACGAAAACAGATGAGAACTAAATAATTTCAAAATTTATAATGTCAAATGAAAATATGAATTATTAATGCTGAATATAATTATACAACTGTGAACAAGCATAATGAGGAAAACTTTATCAATGAACAATAAAAATAAGTATCTTTTCTCCTTATCAAGCATCTCTTCAGAATGTTTTATAAATTATAAAGCCTGCCCCAAATGGGACTTTTAGAGGTTCCCTCTCATGAGAGGTATAAGGAAGAGAGAAAGTAAGAAAAAGAAACTGAAACTCAGACATTAAGAACTACATAACTTAACAAGGCTTGTACTCAATATTTATTTTAATAAAAATTACCTTCTCTTTTCTCTGCCATACATCTATTCAATTCTTGTATTGTTGCCTTATCAATAGACATATGTACTTTCAGTTCATCCAATTCTTCTTGGAGATTCATCCTATGAAAATTGAAGCAATAAAAAAATTACATAAAATGTGCAAGTTATTGAATAATGTGGCAACCAAGTAAAGGCAGTAAAGATGATTACAAAGCAGAACATGGTAAAACAACAGCAAAAATATATTACTAATATACATGCAATTGAATTTTAGAAAAGTAAAATGTTTAAAGTAATTTCTATTAACTTTATCACAATAAAGATATAAAATACTTGTGATGGGATTTTTCGTGATAGGGTCTCACAAACTATTTGTCTGGGTTGACTTCAAACCACGATCTTCCTGATTCCTGCCTCCTGAGTAGTTACAATTTCAGGTGTAAACCACTGGCGCTGGGCCTAAACAAATTTTTTTTTTTTTTTTTTTTTTTTTTGGGAGAAAGGGTCTTGCTATGTAGTCCAGGCTTGCTTGAAAATCTCTATTTAGCCCAGGCTGGTCTAGAACTTGCAATTCTCCTGCTTCTGCCTCTTGAGTGCTGAGATTATAGGCATATGTCAACATGCCTGAGTACGTAATTTTTTAAAATCATGTATTTACTTTTTCAACCCCTTCCTCCCTGGCAGTGCTGGGGTTTGACCTCAGGGCTTGTCCTTGCTAAGCAGGTGCTTTACAACTTCAGCGATGTCCCCAACCACTTTTACTTTCTTCAAACACTTTCTAATATACTCATGTGCAAAATTTAATGCATACCACTGAGCACAAACATAATAAATCTCTAGATGCCAAATGAAAACAAAGTACAATAGAATTGAGCTATCATGGTAAGTATTTGACCTGGATCAAATACTGTTGAGGAGACCTCAGATGGTGATATCTAAGTGCAGATGAAAATTTGGCCCAAATCCTTACATGAAATGTAAATACAGGAAACTGGGAGATAAAATTTGCTGAGTGAAAACATGAATATCTGAGCTTGTATATTAAGAGTTCTGAGCTTATATAGTAAGGGTTCTATAAATAAGAATCCTCTTCCCTTGTTTGAGGGTAGGAAAGAGGTCAAAATCCTAAAGCCATAGTACTAGGTTCAAAATGGAAACATGTGTTTGTAGAAACACAGGGAATCAATGATAATATTAGAGCTGGCTTACAACCAGTATATACTGGAAGGTTCAGGCAGACACAATCACCCTGCTATAATTTAAATCTAAAAAGTTCCCCAATAGTCTCATGTGCTAAAGGCTGTTCTCAAGGGCAGCATTATTGGGAGGTGGTAGAGCCTTTAAAGTCTGGGGCCCTGTGGAAGGTCTTTAGTTCACCGAAGCCATGCTCTTGAATAGAATTGTGAGACTCCATTCCTCATCCCCCTTCTCTTTCATTTCCCAGCCACGAAGGGGATCTCTTTTTTTGTCACTATCTGTTCTGGCCATGATATAACGTCACAAATAAAGCAATAGGGCCAAATAATCATAGATAGAAACTTCTAAGCCTGCGAGTCAAGTAAACCTTTCTCTTTGCAAATTGACTGTCTCAGGTACTTTTTATAGTCATGGAAAGCTGGTTAACACATATCCTCTAAAGGGAGACTTTCACAACAGAGAAAATGAATGGAAGAAAACCATTATGGAAAGTAATTCTCAAAGAAGTCAAACTTGGCCCTAACTATAAATAAATGAACAAGTTCAGAATAATGAATGATAGTCTACATACTACCCTGTTCAAAAGGAGACTAAACAGCAAAGAACTAGAGATAACAGAACAATTCAAAATAATTTTATAGCTAGCTTTTAAAGTGATTTTTTTAAAAAAATAGGTCATAAAATATAAATACATATATATGTAAAATGGTAGATTATGAAATAAAAGAAAAAGTAAAAAAATCAAACAATAAATCTAGAAAGGCTAACCAAACAAAAATTAATAAGATAGTAAATGAGAAAGGGATAGGAGGGTGAATATGGTGGAAATGTTATGTATACGTGCATGTAAATGGAAAAATAAGACCTGTAGAAACTATTCCAGGAATTGGGGGTTGACAAAGGAAAATATGGAAGACGTGAATTCTATTATGATATCGTAAGAACTTTTGTAAATGCCACAATATAACCCCAGGACAATGATAAAAAATAAGATACTAAATGAAATTAAAAACTCAATGTATTTAATAGAAATAGCATGTAGAAAAAACTAACAAAAATTGGTCAAATTAAAGACAATATAAGGGCACAAAAAGAAGGAAAGCAGTAGATATACAGAAAGTATGTTGAAATGAGAAATTCAGAAAACATCCAATAGAAGTTCTACATGGAACAAACTGAGAGAGGGATAGGGTCGGGGTGGTGGAGAATGGTCAAAACACAACAGCTCAAGATTTGATACCTGATGAAACTTATGAATAAGCAGAGTAAGAGAGGAACAAAATTGCAAGCATAGTAAATAAAACTAAGTTCACACTTAAAAACATCATGGTAACACTGCAGGATACCAAAGAAAGAAAACGAATATTTAAATCAGTCAGACTATGAAGAAAAATCACTAACAACTAAAGAATTGTGGAAAAACCACAGACATTTCATATCACAAAGATAAACAAGAAGAAAAACAAGCATTATCTTCCACATGCCACAGTATACTAGTCATAGATCTTAGTTGAAAGACCTATTAAAGAATATATTTTAGGAAGAAAACTCACAAGCAAGAAATGAAATAAAAAGGCAACAATAATGAAAGACATTGGCAAGTGTACACATAGCACTAAATAAAAATTTATTGTGTAAAGCAATCATAACAATATCGAAAAGAACGTGGAGCTAACATAAAATAGAATAACATAAGATAAAATTCTGGATCACAAAATGATTGTCAATCAAAGGAGGAATCCGTGTTAAAGGAGTTTGACTTCCAATTGCTGGAGGAGTATAGAGGTACCAATGAATTTTAGGCTTTGTCAAATATATGATGTATGCTATAATTTCAAGAATAGCCCTTTGGCAGGGTAAAATGAATCTCAGTGGAAGAGTAGTTGCCTACCATGCACAAGGTGCTAGGCTAAATCCCTGGCAATACACACACAAACACACACACATACACACACACACACACACACACGAATACACATACACACAATCTTAAAGAATAGAAAGCAAGTCACACATGGTAGAGCACGCCTGTAATTTTAGCACTAGGGAAGGTGAGGTAGAAGGATCATGAATTCAAGGCTAGCCTAGGCTACACAGTTACATCTCTCAGAAAATAAAAGTGATAATAGCTACAAAAAAGACTGAAAATCCTAAAATAATAAAGAACAAAACGGAAATTCACCCAATTCAAGCAACATGAAAATAAATGTAAACTGTACAAAGAGATCACGATACGAAATGAAAAAAATTCAGTCAAATTATAGCCAGAAAACCAATTTTAAAATGCATAAAATAAAATATAAGCCAGGATATGCGTCTGTAGTCCCAGCCACTCAGGAGGCTAAAGCAGGAAGATAGCTTGAGCCCAGGGGTTCAACTCCAGCTTAGACAACATACTGACACTTTGTCTCAAGAAAAATAATTAAAATAAAATATACACCAAGAAAAAGACTGTGAGTAATAAAAATACCCATTAAATAATTATCAAAGGAATGATTTCTCAGAAAATATTTGTTCTAAATCTTTATGTATTCAACAATACCAGAAATAAAATTCTTTTTTATTTATTTATTTATTTTTTTTCATTTTTCTTTTATTATTCATATGTGCATACAAGGCTTGGTTCATTTCTCCCCCCTGCCCCCACCCCCTCCCTTACCACCCACTCTGCCCTCTCCCTCTCCACCCCCCTTCAATACCCAGCAGAAACTATTTTGCCCTTATCTCTAATTTTGTTGTAGAGAGAGTATAAGCAATAATAGGAAGGAACAAGGGGTTTTGCTGGTTGAGATAAGGAGAGCTATACAGGGCATTGACTCACATTGATTTCCTGTGCGTGGGTGTTACCTTCTAGGTTAATTCTTTTTGATCTAACCTTTTCTCTAGTTCCTGGTCCCCTTTTCCTATTGGCCTCAGTTGCTTTTAAGGTATCTGCTTTGGTTTCTCTGCGTTAAGGGCAACAAATGCTAGCTAGTTTTTTAGGTGTCTTACCTATCCTCACCCCTCCCTTGTGTGCTAAAGCTTTTATCATGTGCTCATAGTCCAATCCCCTTGTTGTGTTTGCCCTTGATCTAATGTCCACATATGAGGGAGAACATACGATTTTTGGTCTTTTGGGCCAGGCTAACCTCACTCAGAATGATGTTCTCCAATTCCATCCATTTACCAGCGAATGATAACAAGAAATAAAATTCTTAAAGTAAAAAATGAGTACTCTCTGTTTTCCTTCTGGCTATTTCTTCAAAAATTAGAAGTTTATAGTTTGACATTTAGACTTACATTTTTTATTTATATAAACACAAATACAGGGCAGGACATGGTGGCTCAGGCCTGTAATCCCAATGATTTTGGAGAATGAGATCAAGAGGATCATGGATTGAAACCAGCCCTGGCAAAAAGTTAGAGAGAACCCATTTCAACAAATAAACTAGTTGTGGTAGTTCACATCTGTAATCCCAGCTACTAGGGAGGCATCAATAGGAGGATCACAATTCTAAGCAGGCCCCAGGCAAACACATGTGACCATATGTGAAAAAAACTAAAGCAAAAAGGGTTGGGGGCATAGTTCAAGTAGTAGAGTACCTGCCTAACAAGTGTAAGGCCCTAAGTTCAAACCATAGTACTGCAAAAAAATAACATAAATACACATGTACAAAGACTTTTAAATTTTCGATGCTGTGATCCATATTTGTATCTTCTCACATAGATTACTAATTGTTAGAAGTATATACACAAGCACACACTTACATTCAACCACACAATGATTAAGTTCAGGTTAAGATTCTCATTTGTTTAGCTGATAACACAGAACCTACTGAAGCAAGATGGCCCCACAAAGTAAAAGCAAATATATTTCAACCTAGTAAGGATATGGAATATTTGAGAAACAACAGGAAAAAAATTTGACCTAACTGACATTTATA